TAGTCTGACCAATAGGGACAACAGTACACAGCCTTCTAAGGCTAAATTAGAAAAGGCCACACTGCTTCTGTCTTTCCCTTAGAACATTCACCTTTAGAGTCCTGAGACACAGTGTAGAAGTCTATCAAGTTTGAAACTGCCATGCTGTTAATAAGTACAGGACACATGGATAGGTATGTATTCTGGTCAACAGTCAGCATTAACCACAAGGTAACTGAGGGAAATCACCTGCTCATGTCTCCATCACCACCTCCACTGTTGGGTCACTCCAGCACAGCACAGACCAGACATAAATCATCCCCATGGTGATCTGTTCACAGAGTACATTGCACTAGCCCACAGACTGAGCATAACAAGATGATATTTCACATAACTAAAGTTTGGAGTGTGTTTTGGTAACTTGGGTAATATGGCATGTGTTAAGCAAAATCTAATACACCCATAGAATGGCACAATACATTGCTAATAAAAAGTTTTGAAATGGAATAGTTTAAAAATAATACATATAATGCTAATTTATGGAAGTGAGAAACACTACTGAAGCATGAATGTTATGAACTTTTTAGAAAGCAATTTGGTAGTAGATTTCAATAACAATAAAAATGTCCAAAATAACTGACCCCATAATTCCTCATTAGGAATATATCTTAGGGCCAGGGATATAGCTCAGCAGCACAGGGTCTTGCTTGCAAGCACAAGGTCCTGAGTTTGATTCCTGGTACCAGAAAAAAAAGGACTATATCTTAAATTTAAATTTTAAATATGTACATATAAATCTAATGACTATTTTTGTGGCTCTTTTGGCAGGTACCAGGAATTAAATCCAGAACCTTGTGCTTGCCAGGCAGAAACTGTGCCACTGAGCTACATCCCTGGCCCTGTAATTACTATTTTTTTAAAAGGTCAACAGAAATAAATCACTTCTAAAACATGCAAATGAGAAAAAGTATGATGACCATAGATGAGAAATGTGACTATTAATCCTGATATGTCAACATTGTTAATGAAGAAATCCCAAGAAAATTAGTAAATCACACTCCTAGGTATGTGGAGCCAGCCTAAGGGAAAGGCCATGTGGGCTGCAACCAGCAAGGTCATACTGTTACTCAAGCCTTTGGAACTCACATTTTACTACCACGTGCCCTATATGCTAAATATGGAGCTACAGGACTTAATTTGCTCTGTTGGGTTTTAGTCTTGCTTTGGTCTGATTCTTTTCTATTCTCCCATTCCTCCCTTTTAGAATGGGAATATATATACTGTACCTTTGGATTAGTAACTAGTTTTTAGGTTTTATAGAGGTTCATATCTAAGAATTTGCCTTGCTTCTGAGAGACTAGGACTTTTGAAAAATGCTGGAATCATGGAGACTTTGGGAAAGATATTATTGTATTTCCAGTTATATGTGGGATAGCAGTATTACATTAGGCAAAATTGGGAATTTTTGTTGTCTTCATTTGGAGATTCAGTATAATTGGGTGTGAAGTTGACAAGGGGTGGATTATGCCCACTAATCTTGATATGTCAACTTCATTGGATTAAGAAATACCCAAATTAATAAAGCATGCACTTGGGTACTTGGGTATTTCTAGGTGTCTAGGGAGGAAGGACCTTGGAGACTATACTTGGTTCCTCACACATTCCTCTCTGGTGCTTAGCTTCCCAGTTACCTTGAACTACGAATCATTGCTCTATCTTGCCCTTCCACCATGAGGATTCTTCCTTGGAGACTGCAAACCATGTACTGAATCTCCTGAAATTGTGATCTAAATTAAACCTTTCTTCTTTTAATTTGTGGGTGTCAAGTATCTCCATGATGGAAATTCTTTTAATGGTACAAAACTATGGGGATATAACACTATGGCAAACATAAATTAGAATCTACCAAAAAGATATTTTAAAAATTAAATAATCATGTTACAAAGTGTAAAACTTTTACTGTTACTTCCAAAAATATCAGGAATAAAGTTTTGTAGTCAAAAGAGGAACAGAGAGAGAGGAGGAAGAAGAAGAGCAGGAGGAGATGCACTATCAAATAAATTTAGTGCCCTATAAAGAGTAATGTTATCGGCTAACTACCTTTTTGAACTAGTCTGATTTTCTATGTGTTCTACTTTTCAAATATATTTTTGCTACTAGCAAAATTAACATATAATAATATAATTGAATTTATTTAAAATTGAAGTGGAATCTTGTTAAAATCATGAAATTGGGAATATATAATTTTTATGGTTTTGAAATTAGTCAAAGGCAAGAGGAAGCTAGCCCTAATGTGGGAATTTGGGGACTTTTAGAAAAGATGAGGACAGAAATATAACCTCATGTGAAGGGAGTGGGTACCAATCTTGAGAGCACATGGCCAGAGACTCTTATTTTTTGGACAGCTATTTATTTTTCAATAAAAAGTATAAATCAAGATAATGTAAATGACCCATATTCAACCTAGGCCAGTAACTTCCTAAATTATTTGAATCTCTAAAGTTCTATATATATAATACTAAATATGGTAACCATTAATCACTAAAAGCTACTTAAATTATTTAAAATTAAACAAAATTAAAATTTCAATTTCTTAAAAGTGCTAGCCAAAATTCACATACTTAACAATTGCTAGCGGTTGCTGTGTTAGAAAGTACAGACACAGGGGGCTGGGGATTTAGCTCAGCGGCAAAGCGCCTGCCTGGCAAGCGCAAGGTTGTGAGTTTGGTTCCCGGTACCGGAGAAAAACAAAAACAAACAAACAAAAAAACAAAAAAGAAAGTACAGACACAGAACAGTTCCAGTATTGCAGAAGGTTCCATTGGACAAACATGCTCTCGTTCTCACTTTACTTTATAATTCATTCTAACTTGCCTTCCAGAAATGGAAATAAAATCTGTGACTTATTAATTTTTTCATGGTTGCAATCCACTGACCTCTCAGAACTACATTATACGGCTCTTAAAAATACATATTATTAGACTCAGTACCAGATTTACTAATTTTACAGTTTATGCATGTATTTTAGAATCAGGTTATTAGATTGTAGTCCTGTATCTCTTTGCATGCTGCATAACGGACATCTTGGGAATGTCTACAGACATTCTAGGAATTGAAGTTTGTTGGGGGTGTTACTGTCATGTATCTACTCAAGGCTAGGGATGTTACTAAGCATCATCCTACAATGCACATGATAGCCCCAAGTCAAAGAATGACGTGGCCCCAACATGTCAATAGTGCCAGAGTTAAGAAACTCTAGTCTGTAGAAAAGCCATAATTTTCCAATACCATATCTCCTGTCCAGTATATCATATTATCTCCATGTATGATGCCTTTTCTAACCATTGTACAAATTAACTGTTATAAACTGAACATTTGCGTTCCCTAAAATTCATGTATTGAAGCCTAAATCTCTAATCTGATGGCATTTGGAAGTTGGCCCTTGGGAAATAATGACTGAATGATGGCAGAGTTCTGAATGAGACTAATGACCTTATCAGAAGATAAAGGGACCAGAGTTGTGGTCCCCAAGTAAGGCAGAAGCAAGCAGTCTTCGTCGTACCAGGAAGAGGGCCCTCAGCAGCAGCAGAATTGATTTTGATCTTCATCAAGAACTTACTCTTGAACTTTCCAGCCTTCAGAAAGGTAAGGAATCAATTTCTCTTAAGTACTCAGTGTGTGGTGTTTTTGTTACAGCAGCCATGATTTACTAAGATAATCTCCTTTCCCACAAATTTTAAATAGACTTGAGTTTTTCTCTTTCATTGCCACCGTTTATTGCCTTAAGATTACATCCTACTCATTTTAGTTGAAACTGAGAATTCCTAAATCTTAGTCACACATTTACAAGTAATCTTTGGATTATTTCTTTAGGTAATTAACATTCATCTATTTTTATTACAGTTTCTTAATTGGAATGTCAACTTTTCTGATTTACCTTATGTTGTTTCTATGTCTCCGGTATGAGGTATGAGGCTTGATCAAACTATTCACTTAATATTTACGTCTTAAAATTTATTACAGTAAAAGAAACATTGCCACTAATCCCTCTCAGAATACTCCCTCTCACTTGGAAGCACTTATCCTAAGTTGTTGCCACTTTCTGCAGCAGTTTTGGAAGTCTTCTTTTGTGTATTTAAGAGGTATGACCAAAAAAAAAAAAAAAAGTGAATGCCACTGCCAAGTTCTATCCAACACAAAGGCAGGTTCATAAAAAGATTAGTGTGCCATCCACCTTCCACCGGATCAGGCACCATGAGGCTTCTGGCTCTTCTCAAGGGCAAGATGACCTCTAAAGGTAAACGTCTGGGATGCGTTCAGGACCCTGAGGTAGCGACGACAATGCACTCATGAAAGAGGACTTTCAAAACTGCTTCGAAAAGATGCAAGAATGATAACTGTTTTAGAAGCAGGTTGGTGTATTTTGAGGGAATTGATGGAAATGTGCCTTTTTAAAGCCAAGACCAGGGGCCTTCTAACTTAGAGGACTTGTCCGTGAAGTTTGAAATGTTGGTGAAACTACTTCACTAGTTTTATACTCATGTTTGACTTTCTCAGCAAAGCACACACCAAAGGACAGAAGTTAAGGGTTGAGGGGTTTGCCGTAAATCAGCAACCAGCAAAGCTTACAAAGTTCAACTGTTACGGAGGGGAAAGGGGAAAAAACGACACTGGCGAGGTTTCTACTGTGTACACTTCTGGAGATTGCAAATAACTCTCAAACCCAAACACAAGTGAACTAAAAAGGCTCAGGGTGGGGACTTGAAATCCCCTTTCCCACGAGTTAAAGGGGAGCAGCCTTCGGGTTTAGCGCAGCTTCAGCTTCTTGCTGCCTTCTGAGGGAAAGACTTGGGCACTGGCGGGTTGAGCCTTCAGAGGGTTTCCGGGTCCCACACGCACCCGCCCCAGGGGACCCCACGCTCGCTGGGAGCGGAAAGCTGAGAGACGCTGCCCGGAAGTGCGCGCTGAGGAAGGGCGGGGCCTTGGGGCCGGGGCGGGGCACGGGCGGTCGTTGGGGCGGGGCCAAACCGGGCCGGCGGCCATTTTGAGGCCCCGCCTTTCCCGCCAACGCGGGTGTACCGCCGCCGCTGCCGCCAAAGCGCCGAGGTAAGACCCGGAGCCAGCAGAATCCCGCGTTCTTCCTCCAGCCCAGAGGCTGCGACCTGGGGTCCTGTTCAGAGTAGAAACGAGGCCGGAGCGCGGCGACCCAGGCCCGAGTGCCACCCAGCCGCGGGCGAGGCGAGGCCCTGGCCCCGGCCCTACACCCTTTTCCTTCGCGGCGCCAACGCCTGCCCGGGCCGCCGGGCCCCTGCGGCTCGGGGGGTCTCCCGCCTGTCATGGCCGCCACGCGTGTGCAGCTTCGCCCATTGCCCTGAGAAGGTTCCCGCTCTGCAGACGCGCAGCCCCGCGCGAAGCTCGTGGAACCCAGCACGCTGGGGAAGCGGGCTGGCGCCCTGGGAGCTGGCCTGGCCTGGGGGTGCGGGGGTGCCCGGCCGCTCAAGCGCGCGGGCCGGAGTGCACAGGTCCTCAGGGTTCCTTAGGCAGCAGGTCACTTCCGGTCGGGTTACCGTCGGGAGTGGCATTTATTTAAAAGTCGTATAAAAATGGCTAATAATTTTGTTTAGGCCACGTTAGACCCGAAGAGGAACTATTTAATGGAGAATGCATTGAGTATTTCAATGGGCTTAAACCCTAGGTTCTATAAAGGGTTGATATTAGTGGGACATACTAGAAAGACTGTGGTAGGGTGTTTTTATTATATATAATGAGGATAATGACAATAGAAATCTTAAAAAAGGGTAAAGGAGACATTTCATATGTAGATTAAGTTGGACAGGTGTAGGTTTGATAAAAGGCAAAGAATAAAGTTGGTTTGAAGATAGGAAAAAGCATAATTTTAAATGTGTTGAGTTTTACTGGCTGGTGATAAGATGTACCCATGATGGAAGGGTCCGGCAGGAAACTTCAAAATTTGGCGATAAACCTGGAAGATTTGAGTATAGAGAGCAAATTAAGATCATTCTACCTAGAACACGTAGTTGAAATTCAGGGAATGCAAGGAGGAAAGTGTATGGGAAGAAGACAAGAATGGAAAGAACCCAGATCCTTCCGTTTTTTGAAGAGAAAGAATTTGAACAGGGAAGTGGTAGTCAGCACTAGCAGTTGGTGCACTACAGTACACTGATTTGGGGAGACCTCTCCAGGTTAAGTAAGACCCAGTGGAGTGAGCCACACTGAGAGAATTATGTGCATCAGAATCCAAGGAATGAGAGAGAGAGAACAGAAAACACAAATAGGAATGTCTTATCCGAAACACTTGTGATCAGGAGTGTTACAGATTTTGGACTTCCTGAAATTTTAAAGTATTTGGATACAAACTGAGATATCTTGGGGATGGGACCCAAGTCTAAACACAGAGTTCAGTTATATTTCATATACATATTGTACACTTAGCCTGAAGGTCATTTCATACAGTATTTTAAATAATTTTGTGCATGAGACAAGTTCTTTGAAGGGAATTTTCCACTTGTGACATGTTTGTTGGCACTCAGAAGGTTTCAGATTTGGGGCGATTTCAGATTTTTGGATTAGAGGTGCTCAACTTGTAGAGATACATAGAAAACTTGATAGACTCATGGGAAGAGTACTGGTAATTGAACCCAGAGCTTTTCAGATGCTAGAAAAGCACTCTAGCTCTGAGCTGTATACCAGCCCCCCACAGTACAAATTTGACCCACATCTCTTAGCCAAGTAGATCCATCTTCCTCTACTTTCCTGGTCTCCACTCCTGTTGTCTTCACTTTGAGCAGCAGAGTATTTTTCATGCTTCAATTTTATACTTTAGAAGTTTTGTTTAAGAAGCAAAATAATGTTTTCATACTACTTCTGCTCCTATAAAAGTTTTTGACCAAGCATCAGACCTCCAGGTAAAATAGGTAGTCATGCATTGCTTAACATTTGGGATACTTGCTGAGAAATGCGTCCTTAGGCAGTTTTATTATTGTGTGAACATCATGGTATATACTTCTAGAACCTAGATGCTGTAGCCAACTGCTCTTTGGCTACAAGCCTCTCCAACATATTACTATAATGTAGGCACCTGTAACAATGCTTTTGTATATGTAAGCATTTTTTTAAAAAGGTACAGTAGAAATATAAGAAGTTAGAAGATGATACATCCGTATAGGAAACTTAGATAAATGTAGCCTACACGATGGAGTTGCTCTGAATAAGTCAGTGAGTGAGTGAAGAAAGCCTACTACATTACTGTGACTACTGTGGACCTCTTAAATACTGTAAACTTTCACTACACTAAATTTATTAAAATACATTTTTCAATAATTAGCTTACTATAACTTTATTTTTTTTAATTTATTTTACGGATAAAAGAAGGAAAACATTAACAGACATCCATTTACAAAACAGTGTAAGAACACTACACACAATACAGAGTTACAGACAAAGTGGTAGGAAATTAACAGTGGTTATTGTGTTACATATTGATAACTTCAAAGTGGTTTCTTAGGAAAACAAACAGAGACCTGCAAGATTGATCAAATAATTAACTGTTAATTTGAAGGAACTGTAAATTTAAAGGAACATTAACTGTTCCTTTCAGTAAAGCAATAGAAGACAGTAGTACGACTGTGTTAGCTATCCTGTGTATACATACATACATAATTTCCCCTTCTTTCTTTTCTCTGTTCCCTCACCCCAGTTGCTCTTTACCTTTGAGCATTTCTCTTTCGTTTCACAATGTCTGCCATACCTCGTAATTTTTATTCACTCTTTAAGGTTCTTACGCTAGTGAGACAATACCTTGCTTACACATGGAGATCTGGTTTATTTCACTTATGAGTATAGTCTGTAGTTGTGACTATTTACCTATAAAAGCCTCGAGTTTATCTTTCTTTATAGCTGAGTAATATTCCATTATATAAAAGTACCACAATTTTTTTATCCATACCTCAGTGGATGGGCATTTGGGTTGCTTCCACAATTTAGCAATTACAAATTGTGCTGCTATGAACATGGGTGCACATATATCGCTGTGATATGATGTTTTCAGATCTTCTGGGAAAATACTCAGAAGGGGAATAGCTGGGTTGAATGGGACCTCTAGACCTAGTTTGCTGAGGAGTCTCCAAACTGATTTCCACAGTGGTTTCACCAGTCTGCATTCCCACCAGCAGTGGAGAAGAGTTCCTATTTCTCCACAGCCTCACCAGCATTTGTTATTGATTGATTTCTTAATGCTAGCCATGCTTACTAGGGTGAAATGAAATCTCAATGTTGTTTTAATTTGCATTTCTGGAATGACTAATGATGTTGAACATTTTCTTTATATAAGAAAGTATATAAATATTTATATTTTCTTTATATAAGAAAATATATAAATATAAATATATAAATGTTCTTTATTTGCCATTTGTAATTCTTTATCTGAGAAGTGTGTGTTCATCTCAGATGCCCAGTTTTAGATTGAGTCTAAATTGGAAGAGTCTTTGAATTGAGGGGGGCTGGTGCTTTTTAATTCTTTATATGTTCTAGATAGAAGACCTTCGTCTGAGGGACAGTCAGCTAAAATTTTTTCCCAATTTGAGGATTTTCTTTGTACTCTGCTGGCAGTTTCTTTAGATGTGCAGAAACTTTTCAATAGAATGAGATCCCAGTTGTTGATTCTTTGAACTATTTCACGTGTGCTTTGGTTTTTGTATAACTTTATTTTTTTACTGTTAATAATACAACTTAAAACCCTAACATAAAAATACTTTCTTTTTGTGTATCTATTCCATAAGACTCAGTTTTTAAAAGTTTTTTTTTTCACTTAAAGTTTTTTGTTAAAAACAAAGACACAAACACACACCTAGGGGTACACAAGGTCAGGATCATCAGTGTCAGTCGTCCACCTCTACTTATCCCAGTGGATGACCAGCAAGGGCAGTAACATACATGGAGCTGTCACCTCTTATGGTAACAGTGGTTCCAGGAATCCCTCCTGAGAGACTTGTCGGGGACTCCTGTTGAGCAGTTGTCACTTTAGAGAAATATATCTATGATCTTTACTTGGTTTATTTTTTTTCATAGGTTTGCCTGTAAGTAGATAATGCACTCTGAATATTACTCTAGTAATGGAAACCTTTTAGTGTGAGAGTCCAGGTTTTAAAGATTTTAAGAAGCATATTGAGGTCTGCCAAAACTGTTAAGTCCCTCACTGGATTTTCTTGGGAGTTCTTTTTTTTTTTTCTGCAGTTTCCTTTTCTCTTACCTCTTCTTCAGCCCTGTATTCACTAACTGATAAGAATTATGCAGCTGTAGTATCGGACCACCATCATATATTGAATCTATCCTTGACTGAACAGTTGTTTTACTGTGTGGGACCTTGTTAAAGTAATTGCATTCTAGGCCAAGGTGAAGTCGCAATGTTGTCCTACCAGCTACATTTTCCATACAGCCATATCCTGGGGATAATCACCTACTCCAGAAGAAAATGTTTCTCAAGAATGCATTACATACCTATAACCACTGTTTAACATTTACTGTGATATACACATCCTGTTTGTAATTTATTTGGTCTTTTCTTCAGGGTCATCTGTCCTTTGGTACAGACAAGCAAATACCAGTTAGATAGGTAAATTTAAGTTTTACATAATTTTGGCTTGTAAGAACAAATGCCATTATTAGTTCAACAAATACAGTAATTATTAGGTACTTTTTATGTGTTAGAATGCTCAGTGTGCCATGTTTTAGGGAAGCAGAATACCTGCTTTGTTTTAAAGAGATTGGATTTCCTTGTAGACTAATTTAGCAAATCAGTTTTATTCTTTGCTCTTATGTGTTTGAATATTAAAATTGTATAGTATGTAATTTCATTAAGATCATTAGTAACTGAAGTTAATATACAGTAATTAATAGTAGCTAGTAGAACACTGGGATATAACAACTAATCCTTTGTAGATTTAAGACATAAAGTACTTAATGAACGAAGTAATTTCTCTGTGTAATTGTAATATCTTAATCCTGTAGAAGTAGTCAATCTTAGTGTGTCTTAAAATAAGAGTGTACTTAAAGATTTCCCAGAGAGGCAGAGCCACATGATAGCTAAGAATAGCTGTCAGATGTCCTGAGTTCAAACCTCAGTTTTTCAGTGCCAAGACTATTGAACCTACTGAAGAGATTACTTCAAGTTTTTAATTATTCTCATTTAGAATATTGTGAAGATATTTCCAAAGCTAGTTTTTAAGATCACTGTTACATATCTCTGTAAGTATAATGCTAAAGCTTCAACTGATCAGCATGTAGTAGTACATTTCACTGAGAAGGTAATATCTGTTCCTGGTATTGGAAAGTTTTTGTTTAATGTGTAGGGCTTACAGCCTGTATTTTAATGCAGTGCTTGTAGGAATGGGAAGGGAATCCTTCCTTCAGAGGTGCACCACAGAATCAGTTTGACTCCTCATTTTTTGGTTTTCCCTTGTGTTTATTAGTAAAAGGTAATATGTGGTATTTTATGTGTGAATTTAAAGTTATTTGTATATGAATATGAAAAAGATTTGTTGCAGAGGGAAAAAAATTAACTGCCAAATATCAGATTTTCCCAGTGATAGTCTTGTTCTTTCAGTTCCCTAACAGGTTATATATATTACTGTTGTTTTTCTAAAAGGGATTATACTAATTTAAATTTTGTATATAATTTCCCTCAAAAGTCCATAAGATGAGCAATTTGATTGAAAATACTTTTCACGTGTAAGAATTCAGTAATATTATCCTTTATTATCAAAATCATGATTGCCACATCATCTTCCTCCCCTTTAAAAAACAACTGTGCTTGATAGCACATGCCTGTAATCTCAACACTCAGGAGGCTGAAGCAGGAGGATCATAGTGAGTTCAAGGCGAGGCTAGGCTACTTAGCAAGAACCTGTCTTACAAACACAAAACAAAACAAAATCAGTCATACTACTTCTTTACTTGTTACATCTGACAGGGAGACTTAAATTTTTTAATCTTGTAAATTAGTAACTTTTTATTTGGTGATACATATTGAGACAATAAGTCACTTTCCCATCACTGGGACAAAATACCTGACACTCACTACTTAGAGGAGGAGAGGTTTAATTTGGCTCACAGTTCTGGGCATCCAGTCTCCGGTCAGCTGGCACTAAGGCAGAAACATCCTGGTGGAAGAGCCTGGAGGAATAAAGCTGTCCCACCTCCTGGGAGGCAGAAAACAAAGAGAGAAATGGGGACCTGAGAGGGTGTCCCCAAAGGCATATCCCCAGTGACACACCTCTTCCAACCAGGCCCCACTTCCTAATAGCAAATTTAGCTATGAGCTTCCCAGTGAACTAGTTAACAAATGAGTAGAGCACCGTATAATCCATTCACTTGGAAAAGCCCTACTGCTAGCTAACACATGAGTCTTTTGAGGGACTGTCTAGATGTGTACTGTTAACATAGCCTCTTTTCTTTTTGAGACAGGATCTTGCTAAGTTACCTAGGTTGGGCTTGAACTTGCCATCCTCTTGCATCTGCCTCCCAGGATGCTGGGATTACAGGCATGTACCACCATGCCCAGCTGCTTGAGATCTTTTTAAAAGGAATTTGGGGCAGTCCACAACAATAACAGAAAAGTTTATTAATAACTAAGTAATGATATACCAAAGTACAGTAAAGAAAAATGGGTTGTGAAAAAATTTCCAGGTAAAAAACATTTGTTTAGATAATTGATCTGAAAACAATATTGTTTCAAGTTTTTCAAGAACTAATTCTACAGATATTAATGAGCTTAATCTTCACTGATAGGAGAATGGCGTTGAAGCAGATTTCCAGCAACAAGTGCTTTGGGGGATTGCAGAAAGTTTTTGAACACGAGAGGTAGATATCACTCATTCTATTTTAATGTTTGTTTTGTTCTCTTTTAAAGCAATCTTTACCCCTCTGTTATAGTATGTCATTTGACTTTTAACCTCTACCCTATCACCAAACTATTGGCTAAACTTGGCTTGTGTAACTGTGTGAGGTACAAGACGCTGAACAGAGTGCCTTCAGACTTTGATTTAATGGTCTTGTGAAATTTCACAAGAACACCTATGTTGCCATTAAAAATTCTGAGAATATCTTTTAATATAAAAAAAAACATACCTGACTTGTTAAAGTTGACGAATTAAACACATGCATTTGGCTCTGTTGCCTCCCAAATGTAACATAGCTTAAAGTAAATGTGTTTTACACACACATGCATGCAGATAAAGAAGCGGGAAACAAGAGCCAAGAAAAATATGTTAGAGGTAAGAATATAGATGGAAAGGTACTACCTGACTTTGCAAAACCTAGAAAGTTAAATTGTTAACATAGGGAAGAGAAAGCTGAGAAGTAACATGAAGCCATAAGAACTGGAAGCACCAAGCACCCTGGAAGGATAAAAATGGAGCTCAAAAAAAAGGAAGGTTAGTTGCAAGTTTATTTTAAAAGTACACAGATCCCAGACTGTCCCTGTATTTTATGTAGCCAGACCACTCCCTCCCCAACTCCTCCAAAAAATTGAAGGTTTATTCTTTAGGGATGGTAGATACTGTACTGGGGAATACCAGGTGCAGTTGGTGGGAGGTGTAGCAATACAAGTAGATTAAGTAAAAATTGGCACTGAATTACTTCCACTAGCTTCTGGAGTTTGAAGAGTTAGACTTATGGAGTATGATCAAAATATGGTGAATATTAAAGTTTAATTTATTACAGTAAAAGATACATTGCCATTAGTCCCAATCAAAATACTCCTCAATTGAAACACCCATTTTTCTTACACTTTCTGAGACACAGTGATCAATTCGGGAAGACAGAGCAGCAGAACCTTCAGAACTCGAGGATGACTTGTATGCCCTGTCACATAGTTAATAGAGTGAACGGAATGGAAGGAAGTGTGAGAACAGAATTAAGACATTTTCCTATATATGTACAATTCCTATACAGCTCTTTCCTGAAAGCTACTGGACAGGGTGCTCCACCAAAATGAAGGACTAAAGCAGTCATTGAGTTAAATTAATTAAATATTAAAAATTCATTTCCACTAGCCACACACTTCCATACTTGGTTACATGTGACTGGAAACTGCTGTATTGGATAGTGCAGATACAGAGTATTTTCATCATTGTGGAGAGTTCTGTTGGACAGTACTGGTTTGATGAAACTGTCTTTTTAAGAAGATGAAGTTGATAAAATTAAGTGTAATTGAGAGGAAATTTTTGAAACTCAGGAAGCTGGACTTTGATTTTGAATTGGTGATAATACAGATTGGCCACAGCAAATCTCTACATGAGATTCTATTTTTTCAACAATTCAGCAGCATCCTAATGACATAATAAAGATAGAAGCCTCAGAAGATTATTGGATAATGCTATTTTTATGTAAGTACTAACAACACCACTGTTTAAATGTATTTCAGACCTGATTTATTCTGTAACTATGGAGAGAAGTCTTTTTACTAATTTGTAGTAACAGCGCTTAATATGAAATCTGCCTTACCTTATATTTTTTTCTGCTAGTTTTGTGTTTACTTTCTCTTTAAAAAATTTTTAAAGCGGTTACTTTTTAAGTACACAAGAAAAGTCTTAAGGTACCAGCCACCTGTAACAAGATTATACCATCTCAGTTTTGCTGATTTATAATAAACGTCCTGGAATTGGACATGGATCTGGTGTGGTTACACTGTTTCATTTTCTTTCACAACAGTTGAAAATGTTTCATTTTCTTTCACAACAGTTGAAGACCTAAGAATGCTTGTTGAAAAACTTTTATGTCTTTAATCATTAAGTAGGAAAGATACTTAAAATAGGCTAGAAAAGTAGAACCCAACATTTGCAGAGAATGGAGACACATACAGAAAACTTCCCCTTAGCATTGATGGAGTTTTTCTGGGAATCTGCACCTAAAAAATCAACATAACCAAGTAACAAAAATGGAAAGTTACTAACTCAAAGAAAAGGAAAAGCAAAGTAATCCATAAACTACATGGATTATCTCTGAATAGCATTTGTAGCTTCTTGATGTTGATTAACTAAAATTATATATTGAGAAGAGGGAGAGAGGAATGTAGGGAGGTACAGAGAGCAAAGGCAGGGAATGAAGTAACTATAATCCTGCTGTTATGGGCACTCAGCTATTATCTAAAACTGAGAAAAGCAGCAGTGAAAGCATAGTATTTGGGTATAGCGGTAAATACCAGAAGAATCAGCAAAAAGAAAGATATCAGTCATCAGTAGAATATGGCATGTTAAAAGGTTGGGCAGGGGAACATTAGTTTTTCATAAAGTTTGTAGAAGTATTTACTGTACTTGTTGTAGTTAACTAAAGGTAACTTATTGAAGTAATGTTTGCTTCCATTTGTATGATTTTTTTTTTTTTTAAATAAGCCCATGAAAAGTCACTGTTATATGAAGTACATTTTACATAGGAAAGTACCTATGGTTTTTATCAAACCTAGTTATAAACTGATAAAGATATAAATGATTGTGATAAATTATTAGTGATGAAAGAGCAAATTAAAGATGTGATGCTTTCAGTGCCCATGAACAATCTGTAATGTAAGATCTTTGGATTCATTTTTTAAGAAAGCTGGTTCATTATTTCATAACATCTCTTTAGAAAAAGAATTCTTTTCTTTTAAGACTAGAAATGATACATTAAGGATTGCATTCATCATTTCTGTACAATATAACTGCCCCATAAAGCATAGGCTAAAGTTTGTTAGATCAGTATGCTAAACTGGCCCAATTCTTTATTCAAGAGACAAAGCATTTTTCTTAAATGTTGGTAGAATTACTTACTTTGGACATTAAATTACTTTTTGGACCTATACTATATATCTTTTTATATAGTGCTTAATTATTTTGTTTCTGTCTTAAGAGGACATTAATACTTTGTTGTGATGATTGTTGTTAAAATTATAGTGTGGAGCTAAAATGTAAAATGAAATTTGCTGTCTACTTACCACCAAAGGCAGAAACTGGAAAGTGCCCTGCCCTGTATTGGCTCTCTGGTAAGTATTATGTGTTTGAGTTTTATAAAGGAATTTGTTACTTTTTGACTGGCTTGTCTTACCCTTTTATTTTGACTTCCTGATATGCTTTCTAATCCGTCCATGAAACACATGAGAGGCCTGTCATAGTCTGCTTTGTAACTCTATCTTGAGAATAATTTCATACCTGTGGAGTTAGATTTATTTCACTTTTTTTTTTCAATAAGACCAAGTAATTTGGCAGAAAATGTAAAGTTCTGGACTCAGTGTTAAGAGTTTGGAAAAGTTACTGAATTTATATCTGTTCAAGCATCTCTAGTTTGTAATGACTTTACCAGTCAAATGAAGGTAGAGCACCACAGTACATAATTAGAAACCACAGACTAGTAACTTCTATGGTGTTCTATATAATATGTTAATTTGATGCCACAGAGCTTCTCTGGCAACAAGCTTTAAAGTTATAAATAACACTAATGCTTCTTAATCAGATGTAGAATAGATTGTGAGAGAGCAAGACATTGACACAAGCAATTTGAAACCTCTTTGCTAATTTTTCTTTCACAAGATATTAGCACTTTATCTTTAGAAGTAAATATTTCAAATAAAGAATTAAAACAACTAAATTGTTTTATGAAGTATTATTTTCCCTTAAAAATTGTTCCTACAATGTTTATTTAACAAATCATGCCTATGTATATAGTATTTCATTAAAAATAAGCCCTAAATACCAGTCTTTGAAAATAAGAATACACATTTCATTTTAAAAGGTAAGAATAAGCACATATCTGGTTTTAACTGAGGAAAAAGCATTTCTGTGATTGAATGAAGAATACTGATTTTACTAGAAGAGCATTACAACAAAATTAGATATTTAAGTATTTTTTAAAATAATAAATTATTAATTAATAAATATAGGTAAAGCTGATCTTAGAAATCATGTAATTCATGGAAAGAAACTGAAGGTCAGAGAAGCTATATACTGCCTAATATTATATAATGGTTTTTGGACTCATAATCGAGTCTTATATTCAGTCTTTTTTCCTGTTCTTTCTCCATTTTGTTACTGGTGAGAGCTACTAAAGTCATATATTTTGTTTAAAGATTAAAAATTCAGATAAGAAGTAGCAAGGTATTGTCATAGGCACTGTAAGATTCCAAATTCCTAACCAAAATTGAAATCTACCAAGATGTATCATTTGAACCTTATGAAGACAAAATAAAGAATTTTTGTTTGTTTTTTTCAAATCATAAGGCAGTGAGATGCTGAAGACTATGTAGAACTTGGAAATTAAATCTTGATATTTCTGGAAAAAAAAAGATTGAGAGTGATAACAAAATAATTCAAGTTTACTTGCCAGTAAGTTGAAGGAAAACAGTGACAAAAGATCACATCCATATTATTCTGGAACAAAAAGTACATAAGAAGTTCTCATACATGGTAAAACATGCATGAACCTGGAAACTATTATGCTAAATGAAAGAACCCACTCATAAAGACTACATATTGCTAAATTCCATTTATATGAAGTGCTCAGAATAGGCAAATCTATAGAGACAGAAAATAGAATAGTGGATGCCTAGAGTTAAGAAAATTGGGATAAATGGGGAGTGACTGCTAATGATATTTCCTTTTGAAGTGACAGAAGTATTCTAAAATTAGAGGTGATTGATGTACAGTGTTGAATAGACAAACACCATTGAATTCAACACTTCAAGAATTATCAAAAATTTTTCAGTTTTTCATTTAAAAGAGGTGTAATTGATGAAGCAGATTGTAATCAGTAACTACATACTCTTCAGAGTAAGTGTTCTAGCTAACCTAGCTTGATTTTACTCCCTTCTACCTTAAGGAATTTGTTTCAACTAGAAAAAAATGAACTTCGGTAGACTGCACTATGTCCTAGTTTCAGTTGAAAGATCTTTATATGTAATCATACAATCATGCCTAGTCTTCTTATGAGATAGAATGAACCAGTACTATCCCCATTTTTAGGTTTTAGGGGTTTTTTTGTGGTTTTTTTTTTTATTATTATTTTATTTTTATTTTTTTGAGACAGAGTCTTGCATGTAGAGCAGGCTAGCCTGGAACTCATGATTACCCCATTTTTCAAATAAAAGAAGTATTCCAGATAGTTGGTTAGTAGGTAGCTGAATAACACTTGAGAACCAAATCCTGTCTGAAATCCAGCTCATAATTTTAATACTATTACTCTGCTTCCTTTGCACACATTTTATTAAGCTTATGATATGGCTCCAATATTTCTAGAAAGTGTACCGAGAAGGAATGTGGTGGACGGCAGCATGATGGGTGAAAGTCTGTATCTCTTAACAGAATTTAATCATACACTCCCATATTGATACTTGTAACTTTGTTTCTTATTTCTAATTCAACAGATGTTCATGGACAACTACTTTATAAATCACTGCACTGTTAAAATTATCAACTGTAAAAGTATTTTATAGTTTATATTCAATAAGCTTGAGTGTCACTTATTATCACATATAATAGGATATTTAATATTGACCACTTGGAAAAGGTTATTGTGTTAAGTAATAGTTACCTCAAGCATCTGTTTCTAGTTCATTCTTGGCCATTCTCACATCATTTATAGTCTTAAGTACCTACAAAGAAAAATTACATCATCTTTTTATCACATGACTGAAAAGTTCAGTACTAGGAAAAATCACAGAAATGGTTCTAAAAACTGAATTTAAGGAATGTCACCATTGCTCCTGTTTTAGTTCAGTGAGGGATACAAAGATGTGGGCTGAGTTTTGTTGCTGAGAACTACCTGTATATATAAAAAAAGTTTTTTTTATTTTACTATAGCCATATTGGCCAACTTACTCTGAACATTTATGTTTTGATGCATTAGTCGCATGTTTAACTAGCATGTTTGCTGATACCTCATGGGCTGTTGTAATATTGGGCAAATGTCCCCTATCTACAGTTTTACAGTTCTACAGTTTTAAAAATTACAAACTTCTAAATACATCTGCTCCAAAGAATTTTGGTAATTGAAATTTTAGTAAGTGACTTTAGAAGAATAGTTATGGGATCATGAAATCTACAGCAATTGTTAGGCTAACACTGTTAGAAATTTTCTAAAAAAGGAACATTAGTGTTACTCAAAATTATTTCTAAAGCAAAAAAAAGTACTAAATGAACTTGCTTTCCTTTTATAAAAAAAAGCTTTTGAACTACTTCACAGTATAGCGTGAAATAACAGTATTTTTGATCTTCAGGTTTAACTTGCACAGAACAAAATTTTATATCAAAATCTGGTTATCATCAGGCTGCCTCAGAACACGGCCTTGTTGTCATCGCTCCAGATACCAG